TTTGTAATTACCACTTTCAACTCATTTTTCACATCGAAAACATTGGAATTTGGATATGGTTATTTCTAGAAGAATTGTATCCATTTGAGTTAGCTTTCCAATGGAATTTAAATCATCACAATCGGATATCTGTAGAGAAAGTTGTGATGAAAATATTGACGACTGCTCAACCCTCACTCGACTTTCGCTAGAGACTCGCTCAAGCGACCAAGTCGGTAACTTTTCGCCCAAGTTTCGCCTGATTATAATGTAGTTATATAACGTTATCAAAATATGATTTTGCTAAATTAAAGATTGGTACTTTCTTTTATACGTTTCTTGATTTTTTTGTAAATAATGTATCCAAAAAAAAATTCTGGGGCAGCCCCCGTGGGCTCCCACCACTTCACCTCTACCTCTAGGCCCCCCCTACGTTCAAAGTCGAGCTACCACACTGCTCGCAAATGGTCACCTAACTTCTTAAAATTTAATTCATTTGTCATTTTATCGATGTGACACTACAATAAAAAAAACATTTTTATAATGACAAAATGTGTTGCATTAGAAATTTTGTACATGCATCTGTGTGTTACATCCTTCGATGTTGACAAAAAGTAGGTGGCTATGAACAGTGTCCCTTCATAAGACGAGGGAACGGAGGGCAGGTGATTTGGCAACATTCTAACATTATTATCAACCACAAAGCGCTTGTTAATGATTAACAAGAAGGAAAACAATATAGGCAAAAAAATCGAAATATTAACAAAATGAAAGGACATTACATTCAGAACAAAAGAACATTACAAATCTTGAAAGATAAACATTTACAACGCGCATTTCTTCTTTACATCAAATCTTGAGTTAACTGAGCAAAAACACCATACTGCCTTCTGATTGCGCAAAATATTTATTCCATGTATTTTGCCAGAATTTTCACCATTTAAGTTTGTCTGGGAAATACTGCAAAAAAGGAAAAGACGAAAATTGCTACATCTTAGCGAGGAGAAAATCCAAGTGTAAAAATTCACTCTAAAAATGAATGGCCAAAAGGCACATTAACATACCTTTTCAATGAGGGAAAGGTAGTATGGCTTTACTTTTTCGACATCAACACGAACTTTGCTCTTACTGTAAAGGTCATATTTGCTGCAAATAAAATTTTGAAGATAATTCAAATTGTTAAACTCTATCGACCCTAATACGCTTACACTGCAAGAAAACAAGACATTCACGAGCCAAAGATCGTCGCCAATGTTTAAATAAGTACATAAAGAAAGTTTGAGAATAGGGTTTTTACTTGAATATATGAAGCCACTTCAAATTCTCTACATCTTCCTCATTCATCAAGTGTGTATAAGCTCCAGCCTTGTGTAGAGCTGCACATCATTATTCCATCTCAGTCACACTATTTAGAAATTAAATCATATGCATAACTAGTTAATGTATTGGATTCAGATCTTACGATAAAAAGAGTGGTAACGGATGATGAACAATGCAGCTGAAGGCAGCGTCGTTTTATTTTCTTTAGCTATCTGAAAATAATAAAGGTGGCTATACATCAAAATTAAGCAATTATGACATGTTTGTTATGCTCGACAAATAAGACAAGATTGAAAAAGGAAAAAAATATTAAACAATAAAGATATTTGTACAACTTTTGTTGACAACTATTATTGATAATCTTGGTGGTGTCAAAATTCGAGCCGTTGATTTAAAAAATAGTTTTTAAAATTGATAAATATGATGCTGCCAAGTGTGAAGTTGTTAATCAAGATCGTACAAGTAACATGATTCAACATTAAAATATGGGTAATTACCAAGTACATGTAGTCATCATGTCCCCAAGACATCACAACATTTTCTAGTCCACATCCTTCTTGGTAAATTCCATTCTTAGTGGTGTAAGCAGGGTTCTTGGAATCTGGGTTGTCCTCAAAATACTGCAGCACATTCAGAATATTTGCATAAGCAAAATTTAAGATTTGCAACATATAGAAGATGGGGTAAAATTGATCAAGAATTAATTACTTTGTGGTGAACAATGGATTCATCAAATGCACAGCCAAGTGGGAATGTGTCACCAACAACAGCCCATTGAGGGAGCTCTCCGAACTCTGGAAGAAGAAGAACTTTTCCAAGATCTGCAGCCCATAAGAAAATAATCTTTAGAATATGAAACTTGTTCAGTATAGTCGAGTCGATGTCACGAAAAAAAGGACGAATATTATTTTTGACACATTGCATGGCAAGAAAACCAAGAAATTAGTCTCATTAGAATATTAGCTCGTATATACCATGAATGAGGCCAGTCAAATGCAACCAATCTTCATTAGGATAATCTTTTCTAATTGCTTCTGCTGTCTGCAATAAATGCTCGATCTGGGGTTCATCCAAATCAGGATCACTATCATCCACGACATTATTCAAAAGTTCACAACATTCCCAAATGCTCATCTTTATTTTGTCCAGTTTTCCAAATTCTTCCCTCATTCTCTTCACCTGCGTACAACATTCACAATTATTTCCATGTCGAAATCAAAGGACTTTTCACTACCCAAACCTCGTTGTTTAAGGAAATTTTTAGCACTTACATATTCATATGTTTGGTTGATGTGTTGCAATCGATAAAACTCCTCAACGGACTTTTGTCTCTCGCTTTCTGCATCATAATCCCTGTCCAAAATTATCGAGTCAATATGTTCCTTATCAAATATGCCATAAACGAACATAAAAATCGAGTATCGTAACCTTTTATATGGAAAAACTATGTTGGAATGAAGAAAAGGACAATGAGCAAACCTAAATGAATGGCCATATGAGTTGATTTCAGGGGCTTCAAATCCACATTCTGCTTCCATTTTGGGCATGACAAATCCTCCATCCAACACAAGTTCATTTGTACAGGGGCTTCAAATCCACATTCTGATTCCATTTTGGGCATGACAAATCCTCCATCCAACACAAGTTCATTTGTGTCAGATACAATTTCCTTTCCTCCCACTGCAAAGATTAAGAAAAACCCATATTACATCTAAACACGAGAGTTGTGCTCGCTGCAGGACTTCAACAAAACCACAGCATTAAGGGGGTGTTTGGTGGGGATTAAAATTAGATTTTTAATAAACTGTGATAGAAATTTTTGAAAAGTGTGGTTGAAAAGTTGTGGGACCATGAAAGATGTGTTTAATATTGATTGTTTAACGTTGAATTAGATTAAAATCCGTTTTTAATCAGAAACAAACAGGACATAAATACGTAAAGAGGACACAAGAAAATAAATTGTACCATGATCCGCAGGTTGCTCAATAAGAATAGTCATGTTCTCCTCAAAAAAGAATTAAACTAAACAAAATACAGAAAGAAAGAATGAATAAATGAATACGAATTCGATGTGTGAAGGGTATTGAGAAAAGTAGAGGTATTTATAGTAGGGTAAACGAGTCCTTATCTGATAATTAGAGTGTTTTTATGTCCTCAACAGAAAATGTCCTTAACTGAAATATAAGTTTATTCCAGCCGTACTTTACCATACACGCATATGGTACTCACATCCCACCATAGCGCGTGAGGTACAGTCTTTTCAGATATATCCGCATCTATTCCATAAAGTTAAATTTCATACCCTGGAATATTCTTGTGTTGATAGAATTCATCTTCCTACCAATTTAGATAGGATTTCATCCATTTATCTGATAAAGAGTTCATCTTCTGATCAATTTAGACAAAATTTTAAGATAGCAAATTTTAATCCGTTTTATTATCCACGAAAATCTTAAATCGATTTGACGATTATTTAAAATATATTAATCTTATTTTCTTATCTAGTTCTGATAATAATTAGACTTTCTAACTCCATATTTTTTCATTTCTTAGTTTTGAAATATTAGCCCCAATTAAGCAAGTTAGTAGAAATTATATAAAAAAAAATTTCTGATATATAAAAGATTGGTTTTGATTCGATCCAAATTATTGGACATCAAATTGATTGATAACGGGTTTTGGGGTTAGGTTACCCTCATGAGTCATTGTAGCATGTGTCATCGGGATATAATGGGCATAATGACTTAAACGTCATCGAGGCAAATTTTGAATACTTGATATGACATTAAAATAAAAAGGGTCCATGTCAAATACCAATGAGACGATGAGAAATAAGTTTCATTGTCGAGAGAAAAATAATCCAGATTATCGGCTAAGATCCATAGATAATCACTCAACGATAACGTATGTATGAGTCTATATGTAGGATTCATCCTCGTAACATTTCTTATTGAAATTGAATTGAATCGGACTACACCACCTCTAAATTAGGACTATCCCTAGTTGGATTTTAATTAATCAATAGAGTTGGGTCGGGTCGGGTGGAAAATTAATTATATTTGAAACATTTGTCTAATGTGCAATTGTAAGACACGCGCTTTGCAAAGATTTGCAAAGACTTGTTGAATATTAGAGGGCTGACTCATCTTAACGTGTGTATCATATCTTATTTACAGCAATTTTTGGTCGTACTGACGCGGAACTGAGTCATTTCCTACCACATAATCACTTGTTTATTTCGTTTGAAAATTCAACGGCTGAGCTGTGCCCTGCTACTTGATGATATTTTATACTTACACTCAATTGACGTTCAGTTTTGTGCCACGTCAGCAGTCAACTTGATTTATCCAGCAAATTAGGTTATTCATCCCGGGATGGAAACACAATCTGCATGACGTCAATATGACATTAAATAATAGATGAAATTAAATAAGCATTTAACCTATTATTTAAACCCACATAAACTGTGTATTCATCCCCATTGGGGATGAATAACATTACTCTTAATTTACTGCAACTGGCCGACTTCTATTTTCCTCCAATAACCGACATATTTGCCTTGCAAAGGTAGAAAAGTGAGTGAACCGTGATTGATAATTTTTAATTACTTGGAATAGGAAAATTTTATTTTTATTATCTTTGTAAATATATTAAATTCTTTTACAAGAAAAATATTGTTGGGTTGCATCAATTATATTGACATTGAGTCGATGCCAACAAAATTCAAGACTTGTAATGAAGAGGTTCGAAATGGTCCTACAAAAAGATATTAACATTGTTTTAACTGTGAAATATTGACATTTTGAGAATAGACAAAGACATCACACTAGCAACCATATAAAAATACTAAATTTACGTAACATTTTGTTTAGCTGACTGTCGGGTGATATGCCTTTTATGCAAAGGCGTACACTACACCAAAAATGGTCTTTTGCAACATTAAAAAGGCAACATTTGTCAATAAATGTTGCCAAAAGGGTCTTTTGACAACATTTTAGTAAGTGAATGTTGTCATTGGTTAATATAAATGAGTTTTGGCAACGTTTTTTAGAAAAATGTTGCGATAGACACCTTTAGTAATGTTTATTAAGTGTTGCGGAAGGTTTTACATTCCGCAACGTTTGATAAACGTTGCGAAATGTAAGACTTTTAGCAACATTTATCAAACGTTGGTAAAAGTCACATTTCGCAATGTTTATCAAACGTTGTGGAGCAACGTTTGATAAATGTTGTTAAANTATAATTTTATTCATACAATCATACGGGCCAAAATTGGAACGAACCGCGACCCGCACGACCCGTGACCCGCATGGGCTCGACCCGGATGGGTCAGCGGGCCGGCCGGGTTGTAGTCCAAAATTGTGGGCCGACCCGTAACCGGCCCGGAACCCGCAGCGGGCGGACTTTTTTTCACGCGGGCCGTACCGAGCTCACATGTTGGCGGGCCGACCCGACCCGGATCACCCGGATTGACACCTCTAATTTAACCTATTATTTAAACCCACATAAACTGTGTATTCATCCCCATTGGGGATGAATAACATTACTCTTAATTTACTGCAACTGGCCGACTTCTATTTTCCTCCAATAACCGACATATTTGCCTTGCAAAGGTAGAAAAGTGAGTGAACCGTGATTGATAATTTTTAATTACTTGGAATAGGAAAATTTTATTTTTATTATCTTTGTAAATATATTAAATTCTTTTACAAGAAAAATATTGTTGGGTTGCATCAATTATATTGACATTGAGTCGATGCCAACAAAATTCAAGACTTGTAATGAAGAGGTTCGAAATGGTCCTACAAAAAGATATTAACATTGTTTTAACTGTGAAATATTGACATTTTGAGAATAGACAAAGACATCACACTAGCAACCATATAAAAATACTAAATTTACGTAACATTTTGTTTAGCTGACTGTCGGGTGATATGCCTTTTATGCAAAGGCGTACACTACACCAAAAATGGTCTTTTGCAACATTAAAAAGGCAACATTTGTCAATAAATGTTGCCAAAAGGGTCTTTTGACAACATTTTAGTAAGTGAATGTTGTCATTGGTTAATATAAATGAGTTTTGACAACGTTTTCTGAAAAAATGTTGCTGTAGGCACCTTTAGCAACGTTTATTAAGTGTTGCGGAAGGTTTTACCTTTCGCAATGTTTATCAAACGTTGCAAAAAGTAAGATTTTTAGCAACGTTCACCAAACGTTGCGAAAAGTCACCTTTCGCAACGTTCACCAAACGTTGCGAAAGGTAGACCTTTAGCAACGTTTGACCTTTCGCAACGTTTGATAAACGTTGCTAAAGGTCTACCTTTCGCAACGTTTGGTGAACGTTGCTAAATGTGACTTTTCGCAATATTTGGTAAACGTTGCAAAAGCTTTACCTTTAGCAACGTTTATCAAATGTTGCAAATAATATCGTCGCCAATTTAAATGAATCAATCACATTCCAATCCATCTCTTAACCAATTCTTTTAGCAGCTTTAAGTCCTTCCTCGTCTTCAAGGTGAGGTTTCTCTCTCTAAATCGTCAAATTTTAGTTTCTCTTCCCTCTTGGCTTTGGTCTATAGAGGTGGGGGGATGGTGAGGGATTTAACCTGTTTGTACGCTAGACTCCGGCTTTCGGAGATGGAAGCGCAGGTGGTGGAGGGAGTAGGAGCAGCGGTCAGATTATCAGTGGAGAAACGCTCTAAATGCTTAGCTTTCATGGTGCTTGCCGAACGGGAGGGGACTAAAGGGGCGTTCGAGAATACACTGCTCCAGATTTGGCAAATCGACGGTAATGCGGATCTTACGGAGGTTGGTAGAACTACCTTTCTGTTGGAGCTATTTAGGGTTTCGGACAAGAATCGATTCCTGTCGGGATGACCTCGGTTATTTGTTAAATCTGTGCTTTGTCTCTTTGATTGTGAAAACGTTCATTCTATTCAGGAGATTGGTTTCAATGTAGAGGAATTATGGGTCCAATGTTATGACCTCCCCTTCGCCGGAATGACCCAAAACACGAGACAGTCTATTGGCGAGCGTCTGGGGAAGGTTCTTGGTGTGGACAATTCTATGGGCTCTAATGGTTTGGCGGTTGTGGCGAGGGATGAGGAGGAGGGTCATGGATTGGCAGTGGCAGCTGGGCAGCCCTGCGAGTCCTCTTGACTGATTGCTTGTCATTGGTGTGGGCTTGGGATCCCTTGGTTTTTTAGGTGCGTCACTTGAATTTGTTGTTGCCCAGACAGTTCGAAAAAGAAAGGACAGAGGTAGTGAATTCAAGAATATCATCTTGAAATTCGATCGATCTTTTAGTTACAGTTTGAGCTCTGATGTTGATTCTTGAGATTCGATTTTAAAAGTTTTCCTTTAATAAAATTGGGTGTTTGTTTCTTCTCAAAAAGAGTGTTGTGAAATGATAAAAAAGACTTTAACTCTGTGTTTATGGAACAAGCCTATATGATTGGTTTCTTGATTCTGAATCAACATAATATTTTTAAGACATTTGTTCTTGTTATAATGTTTTTGTTGCTTTTGACCTTAAAGCTTCTGGTTTTAGCAGACCTTTTAACTATACATATCTTGATTCTGAATCAACATAATATTTTTAAGACATTTGTTCTTGTTATAATGTTTTTGTTGCTTTTGACCTTATAGCTGCAGGTTTTAGCAGACCTTTTAACTATACATCTGCTTTCTTTCTTTTCTAATTCTGTTAATACATTGTAGGGGTATTGTTTTTCTAGATTGAATCAGTTTGGCTGAGCAGACTACACGTGAATTACATTTTGATCCCTGTTTTTTTGTTGTTGTTGTTGGGAATATTCTTGATTATTTAAGTTTTAATTATGCTTTTCCCCCGTAAAATTGGGAACATTCATTAGGTAACAGAAGGATGTTTGGTCCAGATATTTGATTTTGTCTTCTCCTTTCCCTAAATAGAGGATTTAGTTGCAAATATCAATTATTCTTTACTACCTGGCAAGTGGCAACCTTAACTTCATATGCTTCTCTGATGCAAATTTGTTCATAGTTCTGTGGGTTCTAGGGGATATTTAATAAGGAATCTCTTCAAATATCTGGAGTTCAACTAGTATATGCATGATGCTTTTTCATCTTAGTATTTTTTTACTTTTTTTAAGAAATATTTTGTTTTTTGACTTGTGTTGGCTACAGAACAGGATTCCTTCATGCTTGTGAATTGCATTCATCTGGTTATATCAATGTCCACATAGGAGTTTGGTGTAAATTAATTTCCCAAAAAGATGGAGAATTCTCAAGAATTCCTCCTTGAAGTGAATGGTGTAAGATGTTCGATTGACTCAGAAGGAGTTTCTTGTTTACTTCAAAGGGATCGGGCGTATAAGAAATCCGAAGAGGTTACATTTGAGCACGGATAGTATAAGATTTACGGGGAGTACAAAATTTGAAGCTTTTGATGGAGAGGATCTTGTGATCTTGGATTTTTCCTTTGCTCTGATTTCACGCCATGTACATTGTTAAGTGGTGTTGTATCACATTCTAATGTTCGAGTGTATGAATTTAAAAAAATTGTGATGAAATTATTAATTTTCATGTGATTTCAAAATTTGTTCATAAGTTGCATTTTCAATTTTGTCAATATATTTGCATAAATTGTTGTTGTTAAAAAAAAAAAATTCAGCATACGGTAACGTTTNCAACGATTAAAAAAACGTTGCCGTAGGGGTCCTACTCTACGACAACACCTTGATTTGTAACACACATCCAAACGTTGCAAAAGGTCTACAGCAACATTTTTGGAACGTTGCCGTAGGCTATTTTTGTTGTAGTGGTAATACTAGCAACCGTGTAAAAAAAAAAGGAGAAATGCTAGAAGTGCATCAAGTGTTACATCAGGGTGTCCATTATGGACACCCTGATGTAACACTTGATGTACAAGAAGCACAACTCAAAAAAAAAAAAATCAATTGTGGTTGCATTTTTCCATATAATAAAAATCCTTACCGATCCTCAAGTCACTAGGAACAAAGCTTAAGTCCGCGGACCTTGCTAGATGTGCATCAAAATTTGTATAATGAATTGCATGATGTCACATGACACTCTACCATTTGTCAGTTAAAGTAATTAACTTTTTCATCTAATATTTTCCCTCAATATCATATCACGTAATCTATTATGTACATTTTTTATGTACGAGTAGTAAAATTCTTAGTAAAAGATAAATTCAAAATGGTCCCAGGAAAATGTGTTGTGTGCGAACGTTAACCCTATAGAAATACGAATATTCTGAAAATCAGACAATCTATTGATGAAAAAGAAAATTATAAAATGACGTGAGTATCAATTTAGTGATAAGTTAAAAATCATATCATCAAAATTGAGAGTGATATTTGATCAATTCATCGATCAAATTAATAGCCAAATCCAATCAAATTGATGAACCACGATCTTCGAAACTCCTTTTTTTTTTCGTCGATGTGTTGACACGGACAAGAACTTGAATAAGAAGACGAGAAAAAGAAGACAAAAGGACTGCCCTTGGTTATGCTTTATAGGCATCAAGGATTTGTCGTGACCATTTTTGTTTCCTAGCATAGTATCTTTAAAAAAATGAATTAGGGATCTTACCTTAGCATATTTGACTTAAATATGTTCCATGCAATGTACTAATTTCTCACAAAATATTTTTTTTGCCTTTTATAATGTAGCATTAACATTAATCATTCTTAGCTTTGTCTGGTTTACCTCAAATTTAAAATTAATTTTAAGTAAATTTTGATAAAAATGTTGAAATGTGCGGTTTAAAAGTTAATAAAAATTCTAAATTTTAAAAAATATGTGATTAAAATTAATTGTTGACTCTGATTTAATTTATTATCAATTTTTTAATTGAACCAAACATGGATTTAAGAATTGCGTGCGCCTGAAATTATATAACATGTCGATACGTAATGACTTTTTTTATTTTTTTTAAGTTACTTGATCTTCGTCGAGACAAATAAAGTTAGACAGCTCGAGCTTAAGTGTTTCGGTCCATTTTGAAATTCTAATAATGTTAATTATGCGAACCATACATGGGATGTAATCTTTCCAGTTTTTAAATTCTCAAAATATAATATAGGGACCTACATTCTCACATATAAAATTCGAGCAATTTAATATCTTCGAAGGACTTCAAATATCATTTACATATTCCTTAAGATTCACAATTTATAATCGCTTAAATTATAGTTTACATACTTACCAAACACGCTCTAAATACCTGTTATTGATAAACAAGACAATTAGAGAAAAACATTTCAGTGACAACACAAGACCTTAACAGATCTGGAAAGATAAACGCTAAATACGTGCCCTTTCATCTACATCAAATACACTTTATCTGCTTGCCCCATATTTCTTCCATGCATTCTCTCGTTTAGGCTTTGCATTCTAATTTAGGGCGTGTTTGATGGAAATTATTGGAAAATAATGTATGTTAAATAGTGATATGATGAAAAATATTATTTTATTTAAGAATGTGTGGTTGAAAATGTATTTTGAAAGAATTGTGTCAAACTTGGGCTAAGATGGCTGCCCAGGCGAGGAAAGGGGAACAGATGAGAAAAGGATAAACAAGATTGTCATCATTGGAATAGCAACGGATTCAAAACTGGACTAAAAAAATAAGCCGAATTAATATGTTAAAAGAAATATTTGTACATATAAATTCTTTATACATAACATAATGGGATGAGGATGAGCCAATCTAGCTTCCCCTGTATCCGCCATTGCATCGGAAGGAACTTAGATGAAATTGCTGTAGGAAAAAGTTCCAAAATAGGGGTGACAAAAAAATTCATTATACTCATTATCTGAGGGGCCGCCCTAAACAAGACAAATATTCTTCGCCTAATAATTCTCAAAAATAGATTGATGTCATGAATGAGGAAAATAAAGTCCATAAAAATAATGATGTTTGGGAACTTGTCTCATTGCTTGAAAGTACGAAACACATTGGTTGCAAATGAATATATAAAACAAAGAGGTGTTCGAAGGATAATATGAAAAGATATTAGGCTCATTTTATTGTAAATGGCTTTATTCAAAGGGAATACATCGGTTATAAAGAGACTTTCTTTCTAATTTCAACTAAAGACTCATTTAGGATTATAATGACACTTGTGGCACATTTTAACCTTGAACTACGTTAGATAGATGTAAAGACAGCATTTCTCAATGGTGACATTGATGAGACGATATATATGGTGCAACCGAAAAACTTTGTGTTAGGTAGGCTTATTGCACGAAACCAGATTTCTATCAAAGAATTTTGAGATGAAAGATTTTTGTGACGTCTCTTTTATACTAAAGATTCAAATACATCGTGATCATTCTCGTGATATTCTTAGATTATCACAAAAGATTTATATCGATACAACACTCAAGGGATTTGTGATGCATGATTGTAAACCAAGTGATACCCTATTATTAAGGGAGACAAGTTTAATCTTAATCAATACCCTAATAATGACCTTGAAGTAAATGAGATGCAGAAAATTACATATGTTTCTATAATTGAGAGTTTAATGTATGCTTAGGTATGCACGCGTTTGGATATAGCATTCATTATTGGAATACTAGGCAGATATTTAAATAACCATGGGATGGATTATTGGAAGGCAGCCAAGCGGGTTGTGCGGTATTTAGAGAGAACAAAATATTACATACTCACATAAAAGAAATCAGACCAATTGGAGATCACTAGTTATGTTGATTCTGATTTTGTTGGATGTCAAGACAGCGGGAGATCCACACCGAGCTATGTCTTCATGTTGGTTGAAGGAGCTATATCTTGGAACAGTGCTAAGCAGACACATAGATTTTTCAACCATGGCACCAAAGTTTATAGTTTGTTATGAGGTATCCAATCAAGGAATATGGATACAGAATTTTGTCACTGGGCTATGGATTATACATGGAATTATAAAATCACTTAAACTATTTTGTGACAATAAGTCAGCAGTTTTGTATTCAAATAACAATATGAGTTTAATAAAGTCTAAATTTACAGACATCAAATTCTCAGTTATTAAAGAAAGAGTTCAGTGTAGTCAGGTTACTATAAAACATAATGGGACAAACTTTATGATATCAGATCCATTCACTAAAGGTCTACCATTCAAAGTCTTTCATAAGCACACTGCTTAAGCGGGTGTTGTAAATTTTGATTATATACTAGTTTAGTAGGAGTTTGTAATTTTAGATGTTGTCTTTCTAACACATGTTTGTTGGTTGTGCACATTCAAATTTATTTTAGTTCATTTCAGTAATAAAATATTCAGCTTAATTTTTCACTTTGATTAAAGTTTTTTTAGTTTGATCTCATAAGGTATTAGAGAATAAAATAGAACAAGTTGGAAATATGCATGTTTGGATCACATTAAATGTAATTTCCATGCTACACATTCACACTTGATCTATGTCTTTAATTGTATTGATATACGTGATCATTGATGGGTTTAGTTATGATACTTGTAACGAAGATCGCTTTGATCCTATATTGATATAATCAATGGACGAGATTGTTTGGAGATAATAGCAAAAGTTTTGAGCTCATAAGGTTATATACATGTATAAGGTAACATATGTGATCCAAGCGAGAGATTGTTGAAAAATTATTTAATTTGCCATGTGGGCGACATACGTAATTAATTGTGTATAAATGTTATCTTAAAATTAAGTCCAAAATTAATGCGATCTAATGAAAAATTAAGTAATTGAGCTTTTGGTATCTAAATAAAGTGTATGTCGAATTATATGTGTAGAGACTGGATCAATTCGGATTTGTATTTGACGATAATCCGAATACATCTGAAAACAATATATATGGTTATTGTCCCCAATTCATATGGAATTCTCATTCTTTGTACTGTGTCATCCCATCAATACAAGAATTAATAGAGAAAGTATATTGAAAAGGAAGATCTAAAATCACAATCAAGAATCAAGAGAAGGATTTGAACAATTAAATTGAAAAAAAGAAATCAAAATTTAGAGATCAAAATTCAAGATAAAAATTAATATACCAAGGTATGTTCCGCATTAATTAATTTTCTTGATGATTTAACATAGAGATCTTGACAATTCATAATATTTTATAAAGTTTAAGTTTCATGAAAAATTCAACGGGCCAAACTTAATTTCATTGTAACAACACTAAAACGTACATTTAGTCACTAGTAGCGAAGTATCTATCAACTATAAACTACACGACTTATTTTTTCCCTGTCCTAATTGGACAATGTTATGTGGGTCTGGGCCTAGAATACA